ATGATTGGAGCTGGGGTTCTGTAATTGAAGGCACAGGAAAAGATCAAACTCGGGGAAGGTGAGAGAACAGACAGCAGACATGTAAGCGGTCTCTCTCTAACATTAAGCTCTCCAGCCAATTAATCCCAGGGCTTGTACTCCTTTGGAAAAAGTAAGTCAGCTGTAGAATAATGACCTCTCGGGGTTTCAAAAAGCCCATTTTGGGAAGGAAAAAAAAATTGCCCTGCAGAGTCTAGGATAACATCTAAGACTGAACTCTGGGATAGCCATTTTATCATCTCTGCTTTATCTGCAGTCAAAAAGGCGTTTCATCTTCCTGACTTTTGCTTTTGAAAACTACAGCCAGGCAAAGGAAGGAATTGTGCAGTATTTAAATAAGATAAATACAGAATTTACATGCATAGGGAGGTGACGACTGATGTGTTATTTAGTCAGGCCCACACCACGTACATGGCTTTGGCAAGTAAAGGTGCCAGATGCCAGACCCACCAGCAGAGCTGTCATGGCATGTCCCACAGGGCTCAAGCAAGCAGAGAGTCAAGTAAATCTGCTTGGGTGAGGGAAAAAGCCACACTGAGCTAAGCTTTTATGGAAATCATATCATCTCTCTGATTCTCCTTGATACACTGTGAAAAGAAAACTGCTGTCAGGTTGTTGAGAATAAGCAACGAGGACAAATAGCCAGTACTGCTGGTTTATTTTAAACAGATGCACTCTACCATCATTTCAAAACGTGGCAGATAATCCTGTCTGCTCAGCCTGCTGTAAACGGCAGTTTAGACACGCTGCTGCACCATAACATTAAAGTAAGTTGCTATCTCAATTAACACCATTGCACAGATATCCCAAGGTAAAGCTGTTTGGAAACACCTAGGTAGAACGCAGTAGCGCAGACGTAGTCCTGCACGCCCTCCCAACTAATCCCATTTTCCACTAAGTAAACCTTCATGAACGTACCAACCCTATTTTGGGGAGTTCTACTTCCCAAAACACTCTGTGAAATCTAATGCCAAGATGTTGGCATGCTTATTCCACCCCACAGACTCTCTTGGCCACCCCCAAAATCAGATGTAGTAAAAGTCACATCCACTTTTGTTAGCCCAAGTGAGCTCAGATATGCCACATGGTGCCCCAGCAAGCTGCCCCACATGGCTGGTAAACTGCACTTTTGCTCTTAAGAGTTTATTTCAGTTCAGTTTTGCCAGCCTAAGAGAAACACAGGCTAGAAAGCTGCGGGCAAAGTCTCTGCATCAGCCAAAGCACTTGTGGTACAGTTGTGTCTAATCACTAACCATGAAATTGTTGCCAATTCACCATCTACTCCAAGCTCAATGGAGCCATTAACTAGCCTACAAATAGAGCATTATTTCTGGTGGTCTTCATTAGGCACAGCAGAAAACAGGAAAAATGTGGTGCTTCAAAATGGAACAAGGCAAAAGGGATAGCTAGATACTGCACCAACTTCTCGCTAATCTGGATGGTGTATCTGAGGGTTTTTTCTAGCTTTGACAGTGGATCCTATATGCTAGGAATGAGAATAGTTATTTATCTGAACAAGTAAGGAGAATAATCTTGCTTGAGTTTAAGGTGCCAATTTCTCTTAAGCAGAAGAAAAAAATACATATATATACACACACACACCACACACATACGTATGTGTATATATATGAAGTCAATGGTGAAATGCGAGCAGCAGGAACAAATCAAAGGAAACAACAAACAATTGGTTCAGCTGAAATAAAACCCAGTTCAGTGGCTGAACTGCACCAACTCTCTCAAAGGTTTGTACAGGTAAATGTTTGCCTTCAGAAGCATTTATTCACTGTCCTCATACATAAATAAGGTGTCCTGTGCCTCTCTTCCTTACACTAGCTCACTCCTAAATTACCATGATAAAGCTGTAAACTCCAGGGGAGAACGCTTTGGGTCTGTAAATAAACCTCGTGAGTTTGGTGTGATAGTAACAGCAGAGCACTCAAGAAGGCACAACAACCAAATGGGGAGGCCACCTGAAAGCTTGTCACAGCTGTTGTTTACTACAGATTTTTGCAGCAAATACTAGCTCAAGTGAGGGCATGAAGAGTTGGAGGAAGCTTGATGGAGGGGGAGAAGAAAGCGAGGAGCAGAGGGAGGGCTACCAAGGTGGATCAGTGCTGGTCCACCTGGAGCAGGGTCAGGGCTATGTGGTCCTTCCTGTCTGAGCTCTGGAGGTGATACTTAGCTTTGCATCTGCAAGTTTCTATTTAAGACTTCAGCTTACAAAAATAACTGTGCAATTCATCTGCTTCTTTGGATAACACGTCCCTTCTGGATGTGTTTCAGAGTCTCATTTCTTTACAGACAGCTCCCGTGTTTAGGGATGAGAAGCAAGGTCCTCTGTTTTCTCAGAAAACAGAAAAGTAAAAATTTAAGTGAAGCTTAAGCAGTATGTCATTGTCATCATATGAAATAACAGGACAAATTGACCTCTCCACACCCTTCCCTCTCCACTACTTGACCTGCATCTTCTGCGAAAGCTACAGCCTCTTCTTCACTATGTTCCTGGAGCCGGCCGAACACCTAACCTGCACACGGCAGTGTGGGAAACAGAAGCCCTTTATGTTTTCTTATAGCCTCTAAAAAGCTAGTTAGAACTGAGCCACGTGGGATTGTTACTAAATTCTGGGGGGAAGAACTGGTTAACATTGCCTTTCTCCATTTTGCATTTACTAATTATCACTTCATTTAGCCCTTACATTAGCACAACACAAAGCAGCTGGCAGTCCAAGCATGCTCAGTCCAAGTGACCTTGGGTTCTTGTTCGCCTTCACCACATAATCAGCAGGGAATTCCAGTTTCAAAATACAAGACTTCATAATCCATTAGCACTACAGATTGGTCCAGGGCTCTGGATTTACTGATCACATGTCCCAAGGAATAAAAATATGAGCGTGCAAGCTACATTAATCTCCAGACCTGTAAAGCATCCTGACCTGCCACGTGTACAGTAGCCTCATGCAAATTCACACATGAGTATTACCATAATTGTCTAAAACCTATTGCTAATACCATGCCCATAGTACAGGAAGAGAAAATTAAATGTTACCTGCTTTATGCCTCAGCAACCATGGAGACGCACAATAAGCAGCTCCCCTTCTCAGCTTTTTCCTTTTTGTTTCACAAATACAACATGAGTGCTGCTGTTCTTATTAATACAAGGACAACACAGATCTCCCCCTCCTATTTTTAAGGGACAAGAATCACTTTCACTGGTCTTAATTTTAAATCAAGTGTTCAGTGAGCCCAAGGAATTTAGCCCACCATCAAATTCAATAAATCAGAGAAAAGAAACAACGGAAAGCATTTCAAAATGCAACTTCGGTAACACACAAAATACTTCCACAGAACTTAGGCTCGTTTCCTTTCCCTGTTGTTTCAGAAACTGGAATAAAACCCATGGGCAGAAGGATGCTGGCATCAACACATTGCATCTACCAAGCCTAACACGGCGTTTACGCTCCTAGAAACACTTTGTCCAGTTTGCCTTACAAACCTGCAGCCAGGCAACTTAGATGACTGACGACTAATCATATTTCAAGTTGACAAAATGGAAAATAGAAATATTCAATAGAAAATAATAATCAATGTTTATTCTTTACGCCCACGCACAGCCCTTGAAAGGTACTTCAGTCCATGCTGTCCACCGATACAATGAGAATAAACTCAGCAGTGATATACAGCATTTGTCATTTAAAGAAGCATCATTTATCAGTGTTATCACACAGTTTTAGCTGTGGTCCTACACAGCTCTCCCATATGCAACACTTAGATGGAAAATGACTGTGGTTGTTGGCAAATGCTGATTTTAAGGGGCAACAGCATTATTCAATATTTATATAAGTGCAGCAGCATAAACAACCTCTGATACACACAGAGATAGAAAACCTAAAATGCTTTGCTGCTCATTTCAAAACGCTACAACTGAGATGTTTGCCAGTTCTTTTCCCAACCTGATTTCAAAAGTATAACATTATCCTCGGAGCTCACTGAGGTCTAAAGACAAAAATCTTTTCATATAAAATAGCTTCTCTTAGAAGGTGGAGAATGCAAAAGAGAGGTGCAATTAAAAAAAATAAATAAATCATCCTCCGCTCTCCACACATCTTCCCAAAGATCCAAGGACAGTCTGATTTTGGGCAAAGATCCTGAACTTCTGAAGATCACCTCTCTCTAAACTTCTCAGTTTTCCTCCTGGTTGGTTTTTGAGTGAAAAAACGTCATTTCTTTCTCAAAAGCTTCACTAACTCTTGCTGCTTCTCTCTTACTCGGATCGAGGATGACCTTTTGAGAGCGGCAGTGCCCTGTTTCTATGGCACCCGGCCACAAAATGCTGCTCAGTTTCACAAGCGAAATAAAGCAGCAAAAATAAAGTCCCATTGAAGAAATAAAAATAAAAGCAAGTTCTTATTCAAAGGTTTTAAGAAAAAAAAAAAAGCACCATAGCGATAGTAAAATTTCTAATGCAGTTCTCAAAGTCACTCTCCATCAAAACGACTGCTGCTTCCCCTTCTCCTTGTCCCAAATGATGTGATGCAAACATCCAAAAATAAAGTCCCATTGAAGAAATAAAAAAAAAAGCAAGTTCTTATTCAAAGTTTTAAAGAAAAAAAAAAAGCACCATAGCGATAGTAAAATTTCTAATGCAGTTCTCAAAGTCACTCTCCATCAAAACGACTGCTGTTTCCCCCTCTCCTTGTCCCAAATGATGTGATGCAAACATCACACAGCCGCGACGATAGCTGTGCTTGCTCGGCCACTTTCCCCGTCCCGGCCCGAGCCGTTCCCCGTGACAGCCCTCCCCACAGCCCGCGCTCCAGCGTCTCCTTCGCTGCTGCCGCCCGCGGAAGAAGCCCACCTGAACAGAGAGCCACGGCTCCCCCGGAGCCATGCACGCCGCCGCCTCTGAAAAGATGAAAATCTGCTACGAGAAAGCCACTCGCTGAGTTTTTTTTGTTACTTACAAGGCACAGCATGGCGATAAAGGTTATCTCGAATAGTCTGCTGCAGATCGTGATCCGGCGATCCTTTCTGAAACCGCTGGTTGAGATAATGTCTCAGGTCTTTGTTCAGTCGGCTTCCTGCGAAGAAAACACAGCCATTTATTTATTTCTAAATGCACACAATTACCATTTCCAATTCAGACGAACATTAGATTTCCATTCAGAGTCCCCCTAAATTATGGCATGCTGACTTTACGAGCGGAGGCTCATCTTCCTCTACAAATGGCTAATTACCAAAAATAACTCGCTGTAAACAAGAGGTCTCGCCTGTCTCATAACCCATCTTTCTTCCTGTGGCGTTAAAAAGATCATCATTCCCTTTTATCACTTATTTGTCTGAACAAACGGAGAAAGATGGATGATGTGAAAAAGAGGAAAAATAACAAAGGTAGACTGTTGCTTTTGCAGCTCACCAGAGGGTGAGCTGGGCAGACAGACAGAAGGCAAAGGCTTGTCCCACGAGAGGTACCAGTACAGCAAAACGTGGCACCAAACCGAGCAATCGCAATGCTTCGCGCTGGTATCTACCCCAGCGCACAGCCAAAGATAGGAAAGAACTGACTGAAGGAGTCAAGGGTGCCCAAAATCCTTTTTTAAAAAAAAACAAAAAACAAAAACAACTACTCCTCAACAAACTAACAGACGCACAAATTGGAGCAACCTAACGAAGCTTCTTCCAAGAAATGAAATATTTTGAAACCTGAAATAATGTTGACATTAATCCAACTGAAGAGCAAAAACCAGCCCATAGAAATATATAGAGAATGAGGGTAGCAACCTTTCTGTTCTTCAAAAAAAAAATTAGAAAACATTGGGAAAGGTTCAGAGAAACACAACAAGGATCAAAGTACAGAGGAGCTGTCACACAAGGAACAAGATAGTAGACAAGGACTCTGTGGCCCCTCGGGGACATCGGTCTCCAACATCCCAGCAGGGTGTCTAGGGACTGGCTGCTCCCTGACTCTTCCAACGCAAGAATGAGGAGACAAAGTAAGTTAATAGGAGCTCTTCTGGGTTGAAAACCACCCCAAAGAGTCAGTTCTTTGCAAAGGCTATGGCAGATCTCCTTGTTGGAGAACCCTGTAGATGCAAGAAGTTTATAGATGAGCCTGAAGGGGACACTGGAAAAGCACTTGGGGGAGAGACCCCCATCAGGGTTTACTAAAGAGGGCTTAGGAAATCCTTGAGCTGAAAATGAATGGCTAGTAGCTGGGAGAGTACTGGGAGCAGCAGTAGGAGAATATCAAATATCTTGCCCTGTGCTTTTTCTTCCCTAGGCATTGATCTAGGGTCAGAGCAGGAGCCAGAAGGCTAGGGCCACACAGACCTTGCTCTGAACCTGCACAACTGTTTCTATGTCCTTTTATTATTTGCATTACGATTTTTTTGATTGGAAACATGTAATGCAGAGGCCATCTCAATTCGTGTCGACAGCAAACCTAGCATCACACTTGCAGATTCCCGGCTGGTGCCTCTGGAACCGCTGCAAAACAAATCAAGAGTAATAACACTGCAGTGGAGCACAGTTGGACAGCGGGTCTGGGAGGCAGCAGCAGCACCAGACAAGTGAGAAAAATAGTGCAGACCATTAAACATGCACAGGCAGGAACAGCCTATATGCCTACTGCAGCCCACATGCCTACTGCAGCCCTGCAACATTTCCACTGACGTGCTGGTTTTCAGAATAGTTTGTTTTTTAAAACTAAGTCAAATTCTAAAAATAAACAAATTGTTTGTATTTACCACACAGTTCTCCAAAGAGCATTTAATTTTTTTTTTTTTAAACAAGATTGCATTTGATATTGAGGGAAGGAGGCTTTATACAGCAGGCCCAATTATTAAAAAAGTAAAAATTTTAAAGAGTTTTTTACAGAACATGAATTACGTGATTTTTTTTTCCCTCTCTACTGTTTCGTTTCTTTCCATTACACCATCAACAAAGACCAAGATGCTCATTAGAGAAACGGTGGAAACAACAAAACCAAAATGAAGGCAGATAAAACCATATCATGCTTTCCCGAGTTACGCCTGCTCTGGGGAGCAGCAGATTACCACCCTGCTTTCTAACAGTCTCCAATATTACACTGTTAAAATTGCACGAGATGATGTAAGAGAAAGTGGTCACTCATAGCAAAAAATTAAATATGCCAAACAGATTGGACATAATGCAAGAGCTTATTCCAGTGAAGAATTAATGCACTGAGCTACCTATCTCTCACAACGTCATAACTATACATCTTCCTCCTGAAAGACAGCGTGATTCCCGATTCAGTGATTTAGGTCACAACAACGTCTAGAGGTGAACAAGCTCTGCTGGGCTAGGGCCTGTTGGACCACAGAAAGTTTGCAATTTACTGGCACTATCTGCTTTTAGCTTCCTTCTGGGCCCATTGTGTAGACCATCCGAGGCTCTTACAGCCCCTGCTACAAAGTTCGGATGTTTGGTTTACACAGTAGCTGGAATTTCCCAGCCAAGTCACCAACGCTGGCCACAGCGGTAGTTGCAGAAACAGAACCTACAGCAATGCTTACACCTGCACGCGTGCCCCCTTGGGACTCACAGCAATGCTCCTTTCTAGTCTATTTATTTATTAAAAACAACAACAAAACTTGCTAAGCCACATTTTGTTGATAAATTCCAGAAAGTTTCTGATGGGAAGAAAAAGCTTCTTGCAGCCCTCCCTCAGCGTGGCAGCTGCTGAGCTTGCCACTGGGAGCAAACACAAGCTCAGACTAGAGAGGGCACGTGTTTGACACCGGGATTACAGAGCAGGTGCCAGCACCAGCCCTCACCAAGTCGGGCTTAAGGGCCGGTGCCAAGAACCGCCTGATTTTAAGCAGAAGCTCTCCCCTTACAAAGTCTAATTCTAGGCATAAGCCATGCTGACGAGCACACCTGTCTTTGGTTTCCTTAGAGAGGAGCTGTATTAACTACAACTATACTACACTTTAAAATATTCCTCTGATTTCAAGGAGATTGGATCTTAAGCCTGCGAGTTGGAGAGCCTTCTTTTTTTCTTTGCTAAATAGAGAGATACTACGGCGAGAGCGGCTGAGGAACGGCAGACGCAACCCAGAGAGAACGCGTGACCGAACCAGAGGCTGCAGGGGTCTTTCCAGCGAGGGCTCCGCTCTCCTGCCTGCTGGCCAGGGCTCGTCGCAAATAGTCCTGTTTGCCCACAGAAAAGTCATCTTGTTACTTCTGTAAACAAAACTGGGCTGACATATCTAGTTTTTTTTGCATTTTTTTATGTCTAAATTTCTAAAAATTCCCTCCCTTCTAAACTCAACAAAATTCATATTCAAAATCTTCTAAAATTACTTCTCTGTTGTTGCAGCACTTTCCTCCTTTTTTCCCCTGAATGAAACCCATGCCTTTGTTTATCTCAAGATATAGCCAGAGAACCAACTTTCCACTGCTTCTTCTCCCCATCGTACTACCCCAAACCTGAGACATTTCCATCTTGTTATCTGAAACGTGCTTCTCTACCTTTGAGCTAAACAAAGGAAAACTTCCTCTATGGGTCTTCATGGTCAGCTTTCTTAATTATTAGGCCGCACTTTAGAGACCATGAATTGTTCTCCCAAACCATTACATTGTAATGGCAATGTTTTAGTGGCAAAAACAAACCCCAAGGGGGAAAACAAAACATTTCTCATGGAAAAAGTAGTATTACTGACATACAGTTTTCTGAGAAACAGTAAACAGTCCTTTTCAATTTTGCAGAGATATGTATGCAACCTAGATGTTGCTGTGATTAATGAAAAATATCAACTGCTTCTAAATACGTTTCTTTCAAACTCTCACTCCTCTGCTGCACATTTATCCTCCAACAGTTACCTAATATTAAAGTCATTAGAGAAACTATGCTTTGAATTATGCACTGAAACTTGGTACTACAATTTCAGATTTCTGCAGGGGAGAAAGCTTCATGCATGATCATCTAACACTATCTTTACTGCTTAGGAGTATCCACTTCTTCCAAGCCCAGTATCGCCAGGCAGCAGCAGTGCACGTTTAGGGACCTGAAAGCTTCTTGTCACACTGATGGGCTTCCAATAAAGAAAGGAAATTGCATAAGTGACCAAGCAAAAGCCGAGTTTTTGGAAGAAAAAGCTGACATGAACATCCCAGGGCTGACAGTACCTTCCCGCCAGCTGGTAGCTAGTCCATGCCAGAACCGTGCAATACGTATATTCTGAAGATATATATTCTGAGCTCATATTTTATGCATTTCAAAACTGGGATTCAACAAACATTTTATAGGCTTACATGTTTATGTTACTTACTGCTGCTGTTTTTATCCCAGTTATTCTTTCAGATGGTCATAGATAATCCTGATAAACTCTGATAGAGCCTAGAGATGCTTGTGTGAAGATGGGGCAGAGCCAGGGCACAGTGGTCTCTGACCTATAATACACACCTAAAAGCAGGTATACACTAGCACATCATTTTTTCTTTACCCTTCTTCAGGAAGGCCACCAATTGCCATATTTGCACCGGCTGATGGCATCTGAACTGGAAAAATCCATTTTCCGTTGCTGAATGACAATGCAACCCCCCTTCTAACAGGATCTCTTCATAAAGGTGCTCTTTGGCTGAAGGAGACTCGGCGGCCAAAGACCATTGCAAATCAACCAGGCCATGCGGCAGTGCAAGGTTAAAGGCCTCACTAAAGGGATAAGAGTGCAACAGAGTCATCTGGATTAAGACTCTCGCAGCCTGAGGTCCACATTGCAAGGGAATTTTTTTAAAGACACAAAGATTGCGTGTTGGATTTGTGGTATAAACCCCTGATTATAACATGCTGTCTTTCATCTGAAGATCTCCATCTGAAGATACGTAACAAACATTAATAAGTTACCCTGGTTGGCAGGGTTTGATTTCTGTGCTGCAAAATGCAGAACTGCAGAGGAGGGAAGGAGGGGGGAAACAAACCCCCCACGCACTCATTTAGAGACACTAGCAGAAAACCTGCAGCTCATGTTTCCCAAAGCAATGACTTGACTTGAATCCTCCCTAGATTAGCCCTATGGACAGGGAGGGCTTCAGTCTTGGCCCTTGCTCCCTCCAAGCC